CTTGCTGTAATAGGCGATAGGTTATCGCTTATAGCGAAATTATTAAAATTAATATGGTAGAAAAAGGATTTCATCGCCCTGAACTTGTTAGGAGTACAGGAATAAAAAATGAAGGAGTGCTTCTGGCGGTAGAATAAACTATGGTGAAATAAATTTGAATTCGAGTATATCAGAATGGGACAGAATAGTGACTAAGAAGGCAACAAACGATTAAGAAATTGCAATCTACTAGTAAATCTTAAGTGTTAGAATGATAATCCACCTAAGAAAAATGCCAGCAGGAACTGCAGAATTGCGCTCTTGCCTTCCCACTAAATTATGTGAACTAAATTATGAAAATATCCTTGATCTTACATAAACTACGCTTGGTCTCTGATGCGCAAGACACACCACATATCGCCATCTCTCAAAAAAAGGTTTGTGTTAGTCAACAAGTCCACACATTGGAACAGTTACACCTTCGTCCATTTATCATCACTTGTCAATAGCGGCTTTTAAAATAACAAGATGGATGTTCCCGTTTGTGCTTCAACATTACTACCTAATCCTTGTCATACCATATAAACACCCAGCTGCAGCAGCATTCTTCCTCTGCCTTTTACCAAATCAACGATTTATTAATCACAGCAATGAGCAAAGGTATTTCTAAAATAAACAGAAAACGATTATCACATATCTGGAACATACAACAATACCAACTTGTATAGCTTGCAAACCAAATGGAGTAGGGGAGTGCTATTCCTAACATTTTTGAAAAATTTCTTTATATATACCAGGCAGTATATACCAAGTCTTTGGATTAAAATTTTCAAAATTAGAAGTTTACATTACTGATATTCCTATTTTAATAATGTAACTAAATAGTTCCTGAAACCTTGTATAAATCATGCATTAAAAGAACAGAAAAGCTGATGTTTATGCATTCATTCATGTGCATGTGTTCCCATCACATTCAGTCCCGCGCCGTCAATCACAATGAGAAACGAAGGAATCACTAGATAAAGAAACCAAAGATAAATCACAACTTTTAACAACATATCACAACATCAAATTAAAACAGGTAACTGTGATAACATAATCGGTGATAAAATAATTAGCTTCCCTTTTAGAGATAAAATTAGCTTTAAAAAAACCTCGTGAATGTCCAGCGGAATGTCACTGAATATGCGGGCAAATTGGTGTGGAAATAAAGAAATAATAAATGATAAAATCCCTAGCTTCTCAATTATCATACTGAATAACGGTGGCGATACTCATAATGCCATTTATTGAAGTCGATATTGAAAACAATAATAGCGCCGGAGTCAAGTCCTGCTAGTACAAACCGCTGATTAGAAGATAGAGCTATACTCCGAACTGCGCTGTCTGTTTGCTAAAATTTGAATTTCAAGTTATAAAAGAAAAATGGAACAGTAGATTTTGTTCAAAATGAATGTGAAACTAGTACGTCTGGGTTTTAATAGTTTATAGATGATTATTATTAACCTGGAAAGTATACAACAGCTGCATGGGGAAAAGTCGTAGGACCGCAACACGGCCATCTTTCGTTCCAATAACAACGTATTCTCCGTCACGTGATAATGCTCCACATAAAATCCTTTCAGGAAGTCTGCAAAAAAATGTGTGCAGTAAAACTGAATTGAATTACTTTCTGATCATCAATTTCACTCTAAATTTATCGTTTAATTCACTCATTCGTATTGCATTACACTAACATATTGATAAACATTCCACAGTCCTAAGATACTACTAAAAAAATCATAAATACCATCAAGTTTATTGCTTGCAACAGTTTCCTTCCTCCGTAAGCAATGGAAAAAATAAAAATGTATAGGAAACACCTCAAACAACTTAATTCTCGTCCACTCGTAGTAAAGGTAACTAAATTGTCACGTCCATGCAGCACCAACAGTATACACTCTCGTGACACTAACAACAAATTCACTTCTTTATCAGGAAAGCTATGGAAATTTTCAGATTCCAATCGTCTTAATAAATCACCCATCGTAGTATGGATGAGAACGGTTCCATCTGCAAAGAATACTCAACAGTGAATATTAGCAGTAGTATCTTAAACCTTTTTAAGGGTTGACAAAGAAGTCAAAATGTACATATTACGCTTACCTTGGGATGCAGAAATGACAATACCATGTTCAGCTGATACACAAATCATCGTAACGACAGTTTCATGACCAGTCAGTATTGCACGAGGTGACGCTGCTTCTCCTAAATAAATCAGCAGCTATTAGCCAAAATAAAGTTCAAAAACAAACATCATATACGAATCAGCCGATGATTCAAGCAAACTGCAGCATGAAAGGAAATCTAGTGAGAAAATGGAAAGGATAGTAAATAATTAAAAATTTTTTTCACTTTGGTTTTGCTTTCCATTCTTGAATTACATTTTTTGATGCTACGACCATCATAATCAAAAGAGCAAAGTAACCATCTTCGTACAATCGCAAAACCGTTATCCTTAAGCATCTGTATAATTCTGTTGATCCTTACTGTTTCATATTGAACAAAATGGATTTAAATCCAATTTTATTCAAAACACAGTAATACCCACCTATAACGTTGTATTCTCCAGCAATCGATTGTGTTTGCGCATTCCAGTGCCATAGTACCACCGTACAATCCAAACTACCAGAAGCAATATAGCAATCAGCAAATAGGTTAGATTCAGAACGTGCTAGACACGTAACTACGTCACAATGCCCATAAATTACCTGTCGCACTTTTGCTAGAACAATTTGCATTTCAACAATTAACTTAATATTTAAATTAATTATACATGAGTATAAAATATTTCGGATTTCAGAGAGCAGAATCAATAAAGGAAGATATGAGTGGTCTGACATGATTGGAAGATTTCTAAAAATCTGAATAAAACAAAAGTAAACGCAAAAGAATACCATACCGGTGTCTGTATCAATAACACGAAAGCTGTAGTCCGGATAACCGCATGCTATTATTGAACGACTTTCAATAGTTGTTACAAAATTGTTCCAACGAATTTTTAAGCGTTGATCGAATGGTTCCCCTAAGTGTCGACGAGGCAGTGGTTGGGATGGATTACCTGTAATAATGACTTCAACTCTTTTCAGCATAGCGTAAGCTTGACACATAGCATCAGTGTTATCACTGTATGTAGCTAAAATAGATCTAACATGTTCAATAAATGAAATATGCACCTAGTAAAAATGATAATATTTTAGTTGTCCAGCGAAAGTTGCGATGGCCCAAGCTAAGAAAAGGTTACTAATAATTATTTATGCAGAACTATCATGAGCCTCTTTGAAGGGATCGATATATTACACTGCATAATCGAACAGCGCTAATGATTTTACAACAAATAATTTTAAAATTTGAAACATCAACCTGCAGCCAAAAGTGGATCAACTGTTAGAGGGAGATTTGCAATCGCATTACCCATCGAATCCAGGTTATTTTCGTTATTCTGATTGCCGATAGTATTAGAAATGGAAGGAGCTGATGGTCCTTTAGAAAAAAAATGGTTTATATTCAAATTTTAAAATCGGTTGATCTCTACAATTCCAATTCGCATTTTATTGATTGATGAAACTATAAAGTATGTTACTAAATCTCAATATTATAAACTACATAAATGTATTAACATTATGAAGGAAGTCTCGATGAAAACATTGATTTTTCCAAAACTTGCAAAACTTAAGTTCTTCGATGGCACGATTTTAATGTCACATCATTTCGCACTAATGTCACTGCCAACATGTCTAAATGCTTCTTGATGATAAAGTAATTGCATACCACGACAGTTCTTCATAACTTTTATAGAATCACTAACCTGTGTAATTTGAATTCCAACGATTTAATGCGAAGATCAAATTATTTGTTATCGAAACAACGGTAGGATGTGACAATTGCGCAAATGTGTTCGCACTAATGTGAACTACTGAACTGTTAGATATAAACTTCATCAACATGCATAAATCATCACGGCAAGACTGGAACATCATCGGACTCTGAAATGAAACTAACAGTGTCAAAGACACCGACACTAAATTGTCAGTTTTTGGTACAAGTTTGGACAATTTGGTATAAGCGACTTACGATAGTCATGATGGAATGACGAGGTGGATGAGGTTCGGTCATGAGCTGAGCGGGAGTTTGCCCAAAAGATATCATCTGTTGCTCGAGACCTTCACGCATGGCTGCATTATCAACCGAATTTAAATCCAATGCTCCTTCATACGTCAGGTAGTAAAAGACATTTGTAGCACGAACCTGAAAACTTCCCACCAACGAGTTTTTAATTCATTTCAATCATCCCCTACGGTAACAGCTAACTGCAAATAAGTAAAAATCCTTCTAAATAATAAATTTTAATACCTTTCTTATGCTGCACATTATTAGCATCTCTACTTTATTTCAGTACACATAAGCTAATATTACTGCTTAAATTAATTTGTCTGACTTAATTTGAACTTCCGTACTATTAGCAGATAAACTTACCGCCTCAGGCCCTTTTTGTTTGTAACCAAAAATAAGATCAATCCACTGATTTATTTGGCATGAGACAAGATCTGACTCAAGCGCTTGTCGATGCAACACAATAAAATGCTCGGCGCTTTTTGCCCATGGTGGTAAAACAATGTCACCAACAGCAGATCCGTCATCACGTTTCCCTAAGTCATATCCATTCGTATTTAGTAACATTTCTGGCATATAATAGAGTTCCGGTATTAATTCCTATAATTATTAAATTTTTAGGATTTTTCACAATTCAAACAGATAAACAAATTTTCATCTTTTCAAAAAAGTAACTAAAATCAGAAATACTGTTGACCTGAAATAATTAAAAGGTGTATGGACATATGTCAATTATGGCCTTATGTGATATTCAATTGATTTCCCAACGTTTGGATTTTATCCAAGTCATTTCCTCCTCTAATGCATTTCATGGAAGAATTAGAGAGAAAAATAGAGAACGTCCTACAGAGCTTACAAAGCGCGAACCTTGACATCGTGTGAGTCACGCTGACAGCTTTCCCAGGCCTCAGCTATGTTATGAAATAGACGGTTCGAATGATCGAATTTACCACTTTGCATGTGCAAAAATATTGTCGTATACGGCTCCTGAGAAAAATAATTTATGAATTTTGGGAAACTGTGAAAGTTCCATATTTCGTACAGAAAATAATCGTTCGGAATAGCCATCATTCAATTTCAGCTCGACTATTTTACTCTATTCCCTTGATTTAACTCGTAGTTACTCAATTTCACAGCATTTCTACAACCTCAGTTCATTTTTGTGTAAAAGTACAGACTCGAAATACTTCCTACAAGTCGTCAATTGACATCAATTTCATAATTCAGATGATGAACAATATGAAAATGAAACATACAACTCTGAGCAACCAGTTGAGAGTAAATGCTTGCGTTGAATAATGTGTTCCATAATGAAAAGGAGGGATAGTCTCGTGCTCCCATGAGCTGTAGCGATCCTGGAAGAATTTACGCCGATTCTCGCTCAATGCCCCAATTGGCTGCAATTATGATATTTTCACCAAGAGAACTTCAAAAAAGCTTCGAGCTACTGATTTCAATTCCACATCCTTTTTTCAACTCGAAATTCACTTTAAGAAATTTCGGATTGAAGTGAAAGGAAAACAGTCAATGTATCTTTATATCTCTCGGACTGGAGAAATATAAGCTTCGAGCTACTGATTTCAGTTCTTAGACTACCTAAGAACGAACTGAAGAAATCGAGAAATTTTCTTCTTCATTTTCAGGAAATCTATAATTTCGATGTTATTTTGAGATAAGAAGAAAAAATAATAAAAGCAAATGAGAAAAGTGAGGACATAGAAGGTCGAAATAGTCATGAATGATGATGTCGATGTAAAGAAGCGATATGTAACCCGACGGGTATATGAAATGCTTCGCCCTTATCAAGTTGCAACAAGGCGGAAAATATGCAATTCATCATACAGTCATTGCACCCACCAATGAATACTGCAACATCAATCAAATGTCACGCACGGGACAACTCTATTCAGTGCCGCAGAGTATACAACATTATTCCTGGCTACTCTTAATAATATTTTGCACTGATCATACAATATGCGACTCTAAAGGTGATATTGCCGAACTCGCCTATATCACCTTTACAGTCGCATATCGTGTACGTTGACGGATAGCAGCTGTCATGTAGAATATCTGAGATTAACTGTCAGCTATGGGTTAGCATATTCTTTGTCTAGCTGAAGATTACCCGTCGTGACTGCATCAAATCAATTTTCAAATATCTAGACTGGCATGATAGCACTACATCAATTATTATGATCTTTTAACAAATAAAGATGAAATTCAAAAATCACCTTCGATAAATCTCGAAAGTTGGATGCAATGTTGAGATCCAACGTCGGTGATGTGTAATTTGCCAAAACCCACGGGAAAATAGGGTACTGATTCAAATCATTGTAGCTTCGACCAGCAACAGTGTTCAAGAACATCAAGTAATCAAAATTTGAAATTTCCCGTCGCTGCCATTTCTGCGGCATATCAGAATGCTTGAAAAGTTGCCGCGGAGTCATCAGACTTGTTTTGCGACTTTGTGGTAAACCATATTTAGCACCGACACCAACCCGTGGCAAACAGTCCACTACTTTTCGTACTGTACTTTCATCGGTAAATGCGAACATAATGGCGGCTAAAAGAAAAAAATGACAAAAAATTAAACAGCAATTTTCAGTAATGCTTTCGTTGCAAGTACTAACAACTATAACTATAACTTACTTCTTGAAGCAAGGAACAGTTCCAGTGCAATATTTTTGAGTAAATAACGACGCAAGAAAATAGCGCGTATCTCGTGAAAATGCCATCGCCCATGCAAATTATCACAATACAATAAAATCTGTAAATCAATGGCATCACTATTAGGGAAAGCTATGATTAAGTTTTAAAGATCGAAAATGAAATTAATCACTAATTGATTCGGTGGCTGTTAGGTCATAAAAAAAGAAAAAGGAAAATTAGGTCAATCAAATTAAGAGCACGATGACATTCCTCCAATAAGGAAAGATTTACATGAGTTAAAATTCTGATAAACCAGCAACTTATTCGATCAATGTTTAACAGATTGGAGTATGGCCAATAGATGTCGTTGAAGATATCCCAACTCAACTGTTTCTCTTTCCCATATTTTCCCATCCTTCCTTCCTTCCATTATCACACATTAACCTCAAATCATTCTATTTCAATTCATATTACTTAAATAATTCGCTCAAAATTTGAAACAAATCAAACACACTACCACTGACAAAAGCATACTTCTCCACATAAAATATAAATGGGCGGATCTGATGTATGACAACTTCGGCCAGCCATCTATGCAGACACACACACACACACAAACACACACACACACACACATATACACACACATACATACACATACACGGGCACTATGGATTACGGTAAAAGGATGGATAGGAAGGATCAAATGCTGCGCTTTCAAAAAATTCTCGGTATTTGAGGGGAAGTTTATTGAGCAGAGAAGTGGAATGGTGGATAACCTGATATACTGATGCCGTAACCTAATTTAATGAACGCAGAGTGATGTAGTTAAGGTAGATAATCATTTGATATGCTACAAGGCTATTGCATACATTCAGTTCACTCCTGATACTTATCTTACTAGTAATTCTTAAAAAGGCACGTAACAATAGAGTGCTACGTTGCTTTATTAAATTAACAGACTGAAGGCAGCAAAATAAGCTTAATTCTGAGATAAAGTTTAGCGTCCTGCTATCATATTTTCGGTTGTATCCATCGAAAGACTCAGCATAGCACAGCTCAGCAGTGAACGAGAACATAAATAAAGCTTAGATAATATATCTAAACTGACTCATGTCAACTTTTTTATTAATAATACTTATTTTTAGATGGCTGAATTAATTGGAGTCAATTCGTTACTTTCCGTAATGCAACACACTCACTCACTAAATGATTTCTGTAGAAATGAGCTCATCTTCATGCTAACCTAAAGCAGCCCTGTGTAAGACGCAAACGGCCCTGGAACCATAAAGGACGAAGGAACAGGGGTTGCATTTGAACGATTCAGAGCAATTATGTTTGAATAATTTATTTGAAAAGAGCTCAATCCCTACGTTTCTGATGTTAGAAGGAAATATGGAAGTGATCCGGTGCCATGTGTGCCTATGAACGCCTTGTGCTCAGTCAGGTGCTCAGAGATCAATGATCCAACCCATTCAGTTACAGCAATTATCATATCAATCCTACTTATGGCTCGATGAATATGAGCAATGACCAGAAAATTACTGACGACGCGTACACCGCATCGGTTGAGATATTCGATACACCTTCCCTCATACATAATGCGTGCTCTCATCTCTCCAGCAGCTCAATTGAATAATTATACCATTTCAGTGGCCATTCAATCACTTAGCGTACTCATTCACTGCACTGCTTCCTTTCTCACTTTATTGCTAAATGTCCCATCAGTTTTGAACAAGCAAAAGCCAACCAAAGGTACATACGTCAATAAGCCGCGACAAAAATCCATTACCTTTACTTCATTTCCATCTCAAACCCAGTTATCTTTCTCTTAAAGTTATGTAAAGATTACAAAAATAAATAAAGCGATTCTCGAATTGAACTGCTCTCACATTTTTATTTACTGCTCGCTTCTATGCTTAAATACCCTCAACATTCGTGATCCGCGAGGTGCATTGAAATATAAATTGAAGATGGCAGCACATGAGATGTTGTAATTATTGCTGAAAGTGATATAACGACCATATCGTCCATCCCTTACCTCAACAAGTTTTCACAACAAGCTATTATTGGTTTTAGTTAAAAATGAAACAAATACGTTATCCCTCCATAGAGAGTAATTACCCTTTAGTAATTAGATCCAGAAGTTAATACTCAATTTATGATGTAAATTTCATTTACTGCAAATGGTGCAAAATAGACAATCAATTGTTTTCAATTTTCAGCTTCACTTTAAACAATTTTAAATGAGAAACAAAGACCGGAAAAGCAGCAGTCGTTTCCGCGATGCCGCAAAGACTTATTACAATGAAATTTGTGTGATAAGCAGTGATTTGAGCACCAAACACACAATTAGTATATAAAATGTGCGTTCTGCCTGCTCTCTTACCTGACAGTAATAAAACGGAAAAGTTTTTGGACACTGAGAACGTTGAGAAACACCTGCCAACTCCATACATCAATACAGGATGTTTCATAACTCCTTTCAATCATTTCAGCAATTTGGAAATTTAATTTCAGAAGTATACTTATGTGTTCCCGAAGTTTCCCTAAAATCCAATAATTGGGAGCGAATTTTACGCTGGGAACTGCAATAACTGATGAAAGTTTTGCAAACAGATGATTGTCTAACTTAGAGCAGTCTTTTTGCCGTTTCTCTTTAGTAAAAGCATCGCAAAACTTACCTACTACAAATATTAAAAGTTTGTTTACAAAAAGGGCAAAACACATCTTAACTGGTCAATAGCGAGACTCAAGCAATGAAACTCCTGAGCAAAGTCGTTCTCGTTATCCCAGACAAGTAACAAGTAACTCTGGCTTATAAAAAGCTGCACAGAAAAATTTGTATGTGTTAAATGATGATATTTTACATGATTGCTTATTCAATAATAGCATGTAATGGTGATCAATTGCGTTATTTTAAATGAAGGTAGTGATGATAATATAAATGAATAAAAGATGGATTTCTGTTGAATTAGGAGTAAAATAGGATCAAAAACTGATGAGATAATAAAAGTTTTGCAAACTTGGAGACAAACCAAAGGAACAGTTATCAGTAAGGCGATACCACTCAATAATAAATACCACTTAGCGAATTATTGGGTTTTGCAAAATTACCATTAAGAGTCAGAGGTCATGACAGGCTAGCGCCATATTATTGATGACATATTGATGTTATCAGATAAACGATCAGGATGGTTATCTGCTACTCATTAGTGTCTACTAATATTGGCAGAAAAAAAAGAGGCTGACCAGTTTTTTCTTAACGCCATTATGAATTAATGAAATGTCAATCAGAGAAAAGAGAATACCTCATATTTGCAATTTATACAATTATCCCTTACCATATCACTTCATGCCTGTTTCATCACTATATAACTCCACACTCTTGCTATGCTTTTTTATCTCATTTATTCAACATAGTAGCTGAGAAAGATTTTCATTGCAGATATATTTAGCTATAGTCTCACTTTCAGTAAAAACTTCCGAAGGAAAAATCTTAAAAAAAGTCCTGCAGCAAGTTCACGCTTCGATCGCCTCTTCATAACCTTTCAAAGAACAAATTAATGATATCTTTGAACATATTTTAATCACTATAACATTTGTCTAAATAAAATTCCCGCATCTGCATTGATGAGAAACTTTCTCTTCTAAAAACTTTTATCTTGAAACTTACAAAAGGTAAGTGGATGAACACTTAATAACGTCAAAACCACACCAATCAGCACGTCATGACCTGCATGATATCACATTTGCAGGGAAGTGTGGTAAGATTTTGAGTCTTTCTAGCACTGCAACTACAACTTTTCAATTTTACACTGTCTTAATGCCAGTCCACTATCTCGGCAAATTGAACCCATCGGCCCGTGCCCATCTCATCTCCCGCGCTTTCTAAGAGATAATACTACCTATGCATTCACTTTAATACATTCATATGTAAGCTAACAATTATTACACCGACAAATGGATTAAATGCTAATGGAAAACTGTGGAATAATGAGAAGGGAAAGAGATGAGTAGGCGAGAGCAGTAAGCTGTTGTGTTATCCATGGATACGGTCACCGATACCTTGCAGGAGAGGAAAGAGGGGAGGGAGAGGTTGGAAAGATGGATGCCATCTATTATTTAACAGGTAGATAGCCGAACAGGGCGGAGTTCGTATACACACACACACACACACACACACACACACACACACACACACACACACACATCGATGATGCCACATGCGCTCACCATTACCCTTCACGGGCTCCAAGAAATACGGGCGGTATCTCTCTCTCTCCAACAGCGCTTTCGTGTAAATGATGATGATGATAATGGCGGTGATGACGGTGGCGATCGTGATGGAGGCTGTTATCTTTGATTCCTTGACTGATTGATGATAGTTTATGTTAGGCGAATATGAGTGTCTATGTGTTGTGTGTTGAAAGGCAGTAGCAGTTCGTTCCGCTTTCAGGGAGAGCGTGTCGGCTTGAAGAAGTTATCTGTGAAATGAAGCGAAGTGAAGTGAAGTGAGACATCAACCCTTTTAACATCTCATTCCTTCCAGATTTCTCGAAAAAAAAACAAATTCGAACAAATCCCCAATGATTACCAATAAAACTGCTGCTGAAAGATACTAGGAAGTAACAACAGCAGCAGCAGTAGCAGCAATCATTTTAACATATCACCACCGCTGTCATCTTTCATTATCATTAAGGATGCTTTGTGTTAATAGCTGCTACCACCCTACCATATCTATTCAATCCATCCTTTTTCTTTTTTAGTTATGCAATGATTTTTGGGTTCTGCGACAATTCGCACAACAAGAAAGCAGGCAAGGATGCTAGGCCAAAATGCTGCTGTTACTTCCTACCAAATATCGCATTATTTCAACGAGAGGGTAGCCACTCGGAAAAGTCATGTACACAAGGCAGTCTACATGATTGCTAAAATTGTCCAGGAAATCCTTAAAGAAGTTGAATCACAGGAACCTCGATTCATCTCTACACTCATCGAAAATAACGGTCGATATGAAGGGGTAAGCAATTCCAAACCATCATAGCCCGCACTGATGCATTCAAACATGTAACTTTCTAAACGAATAATTAAATTTTAAAACTACCATCGTCCGAGATTTCAGGATGTCATAAAGAAACAAAGAGAAAGTACCCAATTTTGCATTGTGGATCGTGCAGATGCGATTATTTTATCTTGTCCTTAACTGCAGAAATCCTTCTCTTTCATCTATTCACATCTCTCTCATTTCAATGTGATCTTTTTCATCATATAAAAAACTTTTGAAATTAAAATAATGAAAACGATATGAGGAAGTGGACTGACAATTCGTCAGATATTATCTTCATGTGTCAATTTGATAGATAGATAATCAACTGTCGCATCACTGTCTTGAAAAAATGAGCCCTTGATAACATCCTTGATAAATCCCATCTGACATAAGTTGCAAATTGAAGGACACTTATTCCTTTCTTCAGAATTCCTACTAATGCACAATCCAGAAATAGCTCGAAAGTTTAAAGATCGAGAAATCTGTTTCTTGTACGATCTGTTAATGCTTAAAGGCTCAAAAACTTATGTTTTAAAGACTCAAAAATAATCAAGAAATTTAATCTATTAAGCTAATACTACACTCATACAAGAATATAAAGCGCCTTATGTAATTGGTTATATGAAGGAATTAAATGACTAACCAATCATACATACCCTTGCTAACTACCTGAATTCTTTTATTACACTTTCAACCATAAAAAAGGTCTTTTGGAATGTTTCTATCCTGTGCTGCTGATAACTACGATTTCAGATTATAGTTCATTCGCCATGCGAATATGAAGTTATCCTATACCTCAATCAGATGGGAGTCTTCAATTTTGTGGATGATGGCTCTATTCAGGGATGTGCAGTCCTGAAATTAAGCGATGGTCGAAAACGATCAATGTCGTTATGGGTGGAATTTATTACCGCGAGCGGCTATCTATCAGCAAGGAAAATCCGAAGTCGTTTCCACACCTTAGTAGGACAAAGTGTGGAGAAGTCACAATATCGAGATATTTGCAAGATGGTGCCTGACACTAGTGATGTTAAACTGAGAATACACGATGACTACATTGTCCAGATAACTTGTGCATTTCGATGCAATGGAATTTGGCCTCGAAGTGCTAGCCACTGGCCCCGAAGCAATATTCCTTGGCCAAATCCATCTATTGCTAATGAAGTGAAAAGTGAAGGTTTCGATTTATTCAGCAAGGAAACTAATGCTGCCCAGAATCAACCTAATAAACAAGTAACTGCTTTCTAATATAACTATCTATTTCTCCAAGAAATAACTTCACAATGTTATTTCATAGCAACACTTGTTTTCAGAAATGGAAAGATAGTGACATAAAAGATTTTAATGCATATTCAGATGAAGCTTGAAAGTAAATTAGCCAAATGCAACCGCATAACATTCCCTTTTCTGTCATAATGTATCTTTTATTTTGTAACAAGAAATCTTGTTCTCGATATGTTAAAATTGGATGTAAATATTTTCCATCATTTGACACAGTTCGCTGACCCATTATGTTTTAGGCAAAATCTAAGCAAAAGATATAAATTTCCTAAATTTTTCGTGTTTTCTTTTATAGGAAATTTTTTAAAAGTAGGAATCGATTAAAGTAAAACGTTCATCTGAGTGTGTGCGTGTATGTGTGTGAATGTGTATTTCGGCGATTAAACCATGAATCTCTTCCTTCAAAAGTGGCAGAACATTCCATTAATTCGATTAACTCTCCGGGCGGAGCACATTCCACTTCGTGCTACCGTAATACATTATTTACGGCACCTTATAATGTCATTCCTCTCATTGATTTTGCATAAATGGGCACCTTCTAAAAAAGAGCATCCTGCAGACCTGTGTGTTACTATAATAACTCCCGGGAACCAATCCTAGTGCCTCAGGTTTCACAAATGAACAAAAACAATGACAAAAACTGCTCCTGTGGTCCCACCAACATTGTTTAATGATAAATACTTAATGATAAAATCATTACGAACAGAAAAAGGAATTTAAGCCACTTACATTCAACCAATGATTTTGGATCATAGAAAACAAAATCTTTTGACTCGATTATATCTATCAGAGATGTCTTTATTTGAATATATTGAAAAAAATCTAAATTTAAACTCTGAGTAGAGAAAAAATAAAGAAGCCTCGAGCTGACTCTGTCTAAAGCATGCTTCTGTTGATGAATTTTATAATTATTAAGGGCAATGTAGCATAAAATTTGATTAACTCCTTGATATGATTAATTTGTAATGTACGACTTTTTCGACATGGATCGTCAGAAGAGAAAGAAGTCAATTAGTTGGGTGAGTCCGTTCCGGTGATTAATTACAGGCCAGTTCGATGGAAGGTGACGCATGGGCGATGAGTTTACACCATGCCGAGAACACATTATTGCAACACGGCAGCAGACGTAAATCGTTTTCAATTTTGAAATGTCTACGCGACACACACCTCGATTTCCCGCAATCACCCATTACTAACTATATTTTAAAAACGCTGCTATTATTCGAATGTGAGAAGCATTACAATGAGTATGAATGGGAAGAACGATTCATCGGTGATCGAGTCATTGGTATTTATACTTTTTATCAAACTAAAAGTTCCCAGTTCAGACTAACCCTAAACTTTGAACGATAATCATCAACTGAAATAGACTGCCGCTTTCCTTTTGCCCTACTTCACGTGTAAAGCGAAGGACTCTTATCAAGTCAGCAAATTCAGTAGACTCTCATTAATTTAAAACAACGATTTTTTAAAATTGAAAATGTTCTCCAAGGATCCTTATATGACAATTACGCACTGCACCACATAAAAAAATTATTCCTTTCGCTTCTTCTTTTTTTTTTAAAAAGTTACAAAACTCAAATTTGCAAATTCGTACTAGACACTATCACAGTACTGTTTTAACATTAAGGAGAAAAGACCAATAAAACGTGTTCTGATATATTAGTGCCCTATAGATGGAATAGTTCTAATAAGCAAGAACTATGAACATTTCATAAGCACCGAAATTACTGTAATTGTAAATAAACTGTTATATTAAAACAATAAGTATTTCTCGTCTCGCAAAGTGATATATAGAAGAATGGTTCTGTTATAATTTTCGAGTCGCAGAAGGAAATCGCAGAAAGAAAGATATGCTTTAATCAAATCATTGTCAATTTTTTTGTTTTTATATGGCACGATTATATTAAAAACTAAACGGAAGAATTTAGAAATGAAATAAAGTTCGAAAACATACACAAATCTAACATTAGAGACATTATTGATCTTTTGGACTTGTTTACTTCAGGTGTACTATTACAACTGGTATCCTGTTTACAATGCCGAAAATGTCCGCATTACTTCTTGCCTCAGTTGGATCTTCTCAAGGGAGAGCCGGCACAGCTCCTCGACCAAAGCGCAAAGATTACTTGGAATCTTGTCCGACAACTCATTCTTAATGTACGCGCTCTTGAATCCTTATAATCCTAATAAACCCTTAACTTCCCTTCGCTTTTTCAAAATTGAATTTCCACTAAATGTCCGCATTTTTCTTCCGAGAAAAATGCAAATAATGTCAAAAATTTTTTTGCAAAATGTCAGACGAAATTTGGACAGAATCTCTTTCAATTTCCAAAAATCCTACTGTCTTCTTCTATTGCTCCTGAACTCCTTAAATGTGCTCAACTACAAGCAGGCCATCTTTCGGATGTTTCACTGAACCTTTATGCTCAAAACAATATTCCTTTACGTGTTTGCGCATTTGTGCATATTTTCATAGTATTTAATTTGAATGTTGCGCATGTGTGCATATTTTCATAGTATTTGATTTGAATGTTTGTAGTTGCAGATAAGTTTATTTATAGTTAAATATTGCTGTGATCGTACTGCTCAACTGAAATGAACCGATGACTGCTTAATATCCATAGTTTTATTATTAAAATTATTTTTTGAATCAAGAAGCTTTTACCACTTATTCATGATATCATGTCCAGTATCACATATTTTTTATCATATATTTTACTATTGTAGAAGGGAGATATATCCTTCTTACTGAAGAATTTGCCTTACTCTTTTAAAATCGTTTGTGAGCAAAATTTTCAATTTATAGGTATTATGAACACCGGACTTTTATTGAATGAGAAGAGCCCTGGATGGATAAAAAAGTAAAAGATTAAGAGAAGACTTTCAATCAAGATGAATTAATTTGGCTAGTCTTAGAATTAAGATACCTTAGTAATTCTAGTTCTGAAGTAACCTGGAAGATATTTGTTAAAACTGAAAATTTTAGGAAAGAATATTGAGAAAAAGAGAAAAAGAGAGGTAATAACCTTAGGGTCTTGCTCCTTGTATAGTGGGTCATCCTCGTCAGCATCAAAAAATAGTTCATAATTCGTTATGGAAAGAGTGCCTGGTATAACAATACCTGGTGCAATCAACTTTGCTGCCGTTCCGTAAGTTGTTTTTTCTGGAAAATATCCTTATCTTAAATTATTATACATCATCAAACGACATCGTCATAAATAAAGTAGACTTTAAAGTGTCGGCTTTTATAGCAGGTTATTAATTCTCAATTAATTACTATCAGCCTCCATAACTGCTCCCTCCATCCTTAGTTTTTGGCCATATCAATTCATTCTATTATCCATAGCTTCAGAAGTAAATGGACATCGATGATAAAAAGCAATACAAAGCAATAAGCTGGATAAACAATATTCTTACATAAACAGTGTAACTAAGTTACATGGCAAACTACCACAAATACACCACATATGCTTCAGAGGCTTTTTCTTGACGATGAACGGGACAGATGACATGACAGCCTCTGTTCGAGAAAAAAGAACTATGGTACTAATTTAAAAACTTTAATGTCATAAAAAAATGCAATGGACATCGAAATGTTGAGATATACTATCACGTAACGATCCAATTTCGTTTACTTCAATATTTTTAGTAGTTTTATCTTAAATTACAGTTCCCACTGCTCTATTTAAGAAGAGATGTCAGCAGTTTGGTAGAGCAGATGTCCTACGTCATTTGTTCACAACTGTCAGATAATACACTCATTAAACAGGTAATCTACGGCTGTTATACTATCTCGTAACGAGCGTTTGTTTTGAATTTAATAATTTTGAAAGAATCAATTCTATACGTAAAATTTTATAAAATGTCTGAAGATAGGAATTACCTTTTATATTCGACCCCAGTGAATAAGATTTAATTTGAATAGTGGCTGGAAAATATAAAAAGCAATTAATTCAATAAAACTTCAGGAATCATTACTAATCTGTTCGATGCTATTTCGAAGCTGTCATAATTCCGAATTCTCACTGAGATTTTGGCGTTAATTCCCTTCCAAACTTGAAAAAGGTTTCACAGTGCAGTATAACTATTCCAAAACCATTAAAAAAACTTAGATGTTCGCCAAAACTCCAAAATATTTGAATGCTGAAGAGTAGGGGAAAGTCATATTCTACTCACAGCAAAACCAACTCTTTAGTGAGACCCTTTATTTTGTTTATCTAAAATCATAGGGCAAACATGGTATTTAAATCAGAGTGAGGTATAAAAAAACCAATAGAACATACAATGTTATTTAGTATGCGGAATGTAGCGTATTTTGTACAATAACATATTATCAAATAAGATAAGGTACCGATATGTCTGCATCACAAAAAAGCAGATGGTGTTTAAAAATATTAGCACGAAAAGATAATCATATGTTCCAAAAGGAGAATTATTTCAATTTGCATATTGTTATCCTAACAGATACGGAAGAAAAAATTTATTTCAGTTTTGAAATTTATGCAAGTATGCTTCCCCTTCTTAATACTCTAATTCCTGCTCTTTCCCAAACGGCTTACTTACAAACCTCTTCATAAAGACCGTTAAACTTGCATCAGACCAATTCATCAGTACTAAATACTTTCACATCGATTTACTGCCAATACAAGGCAAAGAAATACTAAAGCACATAAAAGACCTCAAAAACTGCAAACTATATCATGTCAGAGGTATTTCAATATGAAATATATTTTTTCTTGAGATTATATTTATCGATGATAAAATTTCTGTTCTCATATATTTGAAGAATTTAACATGAATTTTGCATAAACAAAAATATGGATAGAGCAGCAAAGGAAGAAAATTTGCAAGTAAGTGGAAATTATATCATCTACTCATCTAAAAGTAACGTTAAAAATCAAAATTTCTTACCTCTTTGCAAATCGACTGCAACGTCAGGTTCAGTGGCCCATTTATCGAAATCAGTTTCATCGACAAGCTCACCTAAAGCAGAACCAGCTTTCAGCGATCCTACAGAAACTAAACGTTGTGCTACTAAATCGCGTAGTAAGTCTTCACGAGCTTTATCAGCCTGAAATTTATAGTGAGCTCTGAACACATAATATTTTATGGCCAGTTTCAAGATGTTTGAATGAATAAAATTGAAAATCTCATTTTTCACCATTTTCAAAACGAAAAATATCTATTCAAGTCTTTATCACATATATCATGTGACCACTCCCTAGCTTGTCCGATACTATTTCGTTAGCTTCAATATAAATATTAAAATACCTCTTTATCAGATGACTTATTTTCTAATATAGTTTTGAGACAAGCTACTGGATGATGGCAGCCGTAAGGATTCTGTACGAAACGTTTACGTCGCCTAGAATCGTCTTCCCAAACATCCAGTTTCCAGAAAGTCTCTCTAGAATAAACATTAGGAAGCATTCAGTCAAGATGAACAAGTGCTTGAAAACATGTCAATTTAAGGTGCCAATCAAAGTTGATCATGAAAATTATAGCTAAGATTTACAAGTGTTGATCTGGATCATTCCACGCACCGCCGGGATATGATAGCAGTGACGTTAACCTATCCAACAAACGTGCCGATACAAGAAGATCTCTTCGTCGATTAGCCATAACCAAATGATCATTAACTTGTTCCTCCTTCCGACGTCGATGCAACTGTTCAGCTGCATCACTCTGCAGAATTATTTAACTCAATAATGTTTCAACACTAAATATGTGAGAAAAACAGTGGTGTGACAGATTCCTCACCTCAAACTGAGCATGCTTGCTGATATCCTCAGCTCGCAGACGATTCAATATGAAATCAGCTTCATTGGCAACGCGTAAGATATGATCTCGCGTTGCGTGCGCCATTAAACGACCTAAAATTCCGACAAATTATACAGCAATTAGAATTAGAAAAAAAGAAAATCAATGAGTAGAAATTTGTGAGAAGTGCGGAAGGAATCTTTATCACCATATATATAAAGTTGAATGAATTTAGAAATCAAACTTGCCTTCGTTTACAAGTTCAATGAAAGCCAGTCCAGCATGTTTTTGTAAAGAAGTCTGCCACTCTTGTGAACATAACAGCATGACTAGTTCGATTACTGATCCTGCCTGATTCTTCATTGTTTCCATCACTAAATTTATTATGACGATTAAAAACATCCAGTTAAATATATTCAGATTATTTCACAGGCAAGAAAAAACAATTATAAAGATTCACCTTTGGTATCATTCATGATTTCCTGTCCGTGGGTACCTAACAGCGTTTTTTGAAGATATGAACGAAAATCAGTTAGTATTTCCCGCAGTAGTGGAGCGGTTGTTTCTAAGGCTTTTTGTAATTTGGTTGTGAGATAAGCTCGTCGTTCACCCGTTTCTAACTCACGATTCGCAAGGCTACTATCCTAAAATGTTTGTTATATTAATCAAATCAAAATTTGCAAATCTTATAATAATAACTAAGCTTCGAAACAGATATCACAAACTTTTTGGACAAAAATCCAACGTTTATCAAAATACAAACATTAAATGTGTTTAGATGATCCTGCCGATAGACATTACTCTGAAGTTCGTTTGATGATACTGACAACTCTTCTCCGATAAAAACGTTTTTACTCACAATGCTATCTCCATGATCAGATAACTCTCCATTCTTCTCAACATCTGGTTCTTCCTCTGCTTGTCTCAAACCGCTACCATGATCTGCAAAACAAATAAGAAACATATAGAATTTTTCGTTCGAAATAGCGCCATAGAACTATAAAATAAAATAATTATACCTTTGCTTGTGCCACCAGTTATGGTTGTATCGAAAAAAGGACTAGGAGTACATGGTGGTTCTAAAATATCTCTGTATCGAGATACCATTAACACTGACAACAAGTAAGTGACCGCAAGAGCCAGGAACTGCGCTTGTCGATTCTCCTCCTAAACAATGTTTTTGCAGTTCTAATATTTTTTATAGCAAAATTATGGAGTTGAGAATTTGACTTTCGTG